AAAACGCGCGGCGCGACGTAGGGTTCTGCTGCCCCTTTCGGTACGCCTTTCTTCCGTCCCCGTCCCCGTCGCTGTTGGGGTGTGCTTACCTTCTTTGTTGGTCGTACGCGCACTGTGCGTGATGATCTTCCTTGTCAAAATAAGCACACGAGTAAATCTCTGATGTAAGCCCGTAACTGCATGAAATTCGCGCTATGCGCGGTCATGGAAGTGCACTTAAATTAGTGCATAACAATATCATAGTTTACATGAACCACATGAACTTAAATCACTAGTAATTACTTAGGTGGCACAGTCAGAGCCGGACCATTTCTTGCGCCCAAAAATGCTGAACACGCTGAACAGTATACAAGCCGCCGGTAAAAATGTAATTAAAACGATTTATGAAAACTGATGAAAACAGTGTATCATAGGAATTCAGGAATTCGCTAAATAACACTCTTGGAAAAACGCAAGTTTACTTTTTGCACGCCTTCCATTATTTATAGGAGCTTCGTAAACTGACGTAAACATTTACAGAAATACATCTGCCTCGACGTCTGCAATATGAAGGTAAGTTCTCCACATTTTGTTTCCTGAACTTTTTCCTCCCCTTTTATCCACATTACTCCCCATTCACGATGAGCTTAGTGGGAAAAATATTTTCGCACGCTTCTTTTAATGTGGTGCCGCCTGCCTTGGGCGAGGTGGGCGTGGTGGGGCGGGGCGGGGGGTGTAGGGCGGCGCGCGCCGCTCTCAAAGGCCCCCGGGCGGCGTCGCGTCGGCGGCAAACTGTCTCTCTACTGTCCTGGGGTCGTGGTCATTACAACGCGGCAACAACAACACTACCGTCCCGGACCTGAATGGGCGCACGCAGCGGGGCAGCCAGCCTGCAGGTGGCACTTTATGGACTCCACCGCTCTCTATCATTGGCGCTTTACTTCGCACTACAGTACACCTGCGTCTCTCTCTCTCTCTCTCTCTCTCTCTCTCTCTCTCTCTCTCTCTCTCTCTCTCTCTCTCTCTCTCTCTCCCTCTCTCTCCTTTCGTCCCTTTGATGTTGCATCCAAGGGCGGTACACAAAGAAGACAATGTTCTACATTCATACATTTTGACTGCAGTAGGTCATACATTCATTCATGTCATTGTTGCTGTACGTGTGGGAACTTACTGCCGACAAGTGGGCAGCACGAGCGTGTGAGCTAGTTGGATGGTTCGTGACGTTTTTAAGGTTTTGTCTCTACAGTAGGAGTAGTATGTCCCAAAATGAAACTTTGGGTATGTTTCCTGATCTCAGATTGGAACCGAAATAATTTAAATAAAAGTAGCCCTGACCAGCTAATATCAGAGCTTTGATAATCGACAGCAATGAAATTCAGTGCTTATTTACTTTACACTGTCTTTTAGGAAGCAATCAGCAAGCGATTTTTCCTACCTTTTTAAATGGAAAATGCAACCACATGGCAGAGGCAGATCACTTGAGCACGCAGACCACCGCTGCGGCTGCGGCAAGTCGCGCACACGCGCAATGTGTTTGCTCTCGCTGGCCAAACACACAGCATTATTGTGTCTGAGAAACAAGGTGCGACGAGTGTGGCTAATGTGGGGCGTTGGCCAAAGAGTTATCCAAGCGTTAAGGCTAACGAGGGGTTGTTTCTGGCGGGTGGCGCGCGGAGACTATTGCATACCAACCACCTACCATTAGTAACGATGGTAACGAATAGCACCTAGAGTCTCTTCTTGTGCCTTGTTGTGGTCATTGTCTTGTCATTTTGACGAAACCGTGTTCTCTGTATATGCTGTGCCACTTCGTGCGGGTCCGTAAAGCGGCGTGATCAGGGGAGGAGATGGACTAGCCCGTCACTAAGTTCCTTACGAACAACTGCTCGTCGTAACGTACAAATGTTTTAGAGCATTTGTATTACAAACAAATTGTTTGTATTACTAAGAGCCTGGTTTGTACTACAAACGAGGCTTTTCGTATTACGAATGGGGGGTGATCGTAATATGAATAAAAATCGTTCGTAATATGGCTGCTTTAGATCCTTTGTAAGTTACAAACAAATTCTTCGTAATACGAACACCGCTGTTTGTAAGGAACTAAGAGTGGTCTGCTTGCGATACAGCACCCAGAAAATTGTTTCCTCGAAACAAAGAAATTTCATCGAAATTAGCTTTTAATCAACGAAATTTACCTTAAAGACACACATCGTTTTCCCTTTCTTTAACACGTTGAGTCCCACTTCACCACACGTATGGGCACTATCAGCCGTGATTGCCACCCTCCTTGGTACTCAACGTCGTATTGTTAAGGAGAAATTTACATTTATTTGAAGAAAAATATTTACGGAACTTTTTTTCTGTTTAACGAAGCAAATTTCTTTGGAACAAGAGAAAAATTTCCTCATGTTTCTTTCAAGGAAACGATTTTCTGAGTGAGGATACATAATTGCGCAGAGTTGTAAGCAGCCACCTCCGGTATATTGATCAAAATCTACTGGCGCTGCTGGCCGCTGCTGGCAGATAGGAGACAGGACAAGGAAGCACATGGTGTTCCCGCTCCGATTTGTCAGGACAATCAAAGTGTTAAAATTAAAATGGTAAAAATGTAAGTGATTTTAAGTCTTTTAGGGCCAAATCTAAAGTAGGGATGCCCTGGCGGCCGCTCGGCTGCAAGTGCACGGCACAGGCATGGGAACTAATCTAGGTGTCGTGTGACCCCCGCCTGGACCCGAGTAAATACCACGGTGACACCAACACCCCCTGCACTTCCATCTTCTCTCTTGTACTCTCTCACTCTCTACGCTTTCCCTTACTCTTTTACCCTCCACCGTGTAACGATCCATTTTTGCACCCTCCTTTCTGCCCTGCCCCGCCCCGGCTACGGCAAAAAAAGGGTTGACAGACCCCGTCGCGACGCTTCTGAAGGGCCGCCGGGAGCCAAGGCCGAGCAGCAGGACCGTGTCGGGTCGAGCGGCCAGCGCCGGAGTCCATAGTCCCAGGTCCGAGCGCTGTAGCAGGGGGACGAACGCGGATCCAGACACGTTGTTTCGCTTTGAAATCCTACCTCAGACAAGCCCGGTCACCCGGGCTACCCGACCCTGTGATGCTGTGATGGGACGGCGAATACAGCGAATACGGGAAATAATAAGACGCGGAGCAGATTGGCACAGCAATGTACTCCCGCCCCCTTACGCCAGCAAATGCGCTATTTGACGACCATTTTGGATACCATGTGACGTGGTTTGCCTCTTCAGAGGATACATTATATCACTGCAAATGTCATACATTTTTCATGTTGTTCGTTGGAGTGGCTTTCTGAAGCGCCGATGTTGTTGGACGGATGGTAGAGTGCAAAAAATAATAATAAAAAAACGAGTACTGTGAGCTTTATCTGCTCCCTGCCGCTGACACTAATTTATCGTACGTACACAAAGGCGTAAATAATCTCTGTTTTTCGGTTGCGATACTGCAATGGCGATGACCAGCCTCCACCCTTTATTTGTCTTTCTTTACATCACCATTGCAGCGGGTGTGTGTATGAGAGAGAGAGAGAGAGAGAGAGAGAGAGAGAGAGAGAGAGAGAGAGAGAGAGGGGGAGATCTACCATGTAAAAATATCATGTATTTGCTAAATACCCAATTATTGTCGTGATGCACCCACTCTTTATTTTTCGCGTCACTTTCCATACCTGAAATTTTATTGATCATCGGATGTAAAAATGAAATTAAAATTGCATGTATTTTCCAAGGGGAAAATCACTTGGGTTCGTACCGTACGGGCTATTTTGAGGTTATTTCTCCTGCCATTTCGCGGTTATTTCTCGCCAATTTCGGATTATTTCAGGGTATTACGCGATATTGATATTCCGGGGTATTTCGCGACTATTTCACCAACTACGTGTTTCGCGTCTATTTCGCTCTATTCCGCCTTTATTTTCGGACTATTTCGGGGGAAGGTGTACGAACTATTTCGCAAGTGATTTCCCCCTCGGTATTTTCACCAAAATTTAACACCACCCTTTATCTTAAAAGAACGTGCAGTACTTACAAGTAGAGACGGACACTAATTGTTTGTGTGTCAATATAGCACAATGAATAGTTCATATGAAGTATGGTACGTCATCTTAAAACAATGTGTTAGTTCAAAATAGTTACAATAATTTTGCGCACAAAGCTTTACGTGTAATTTAACAAAAATCATTCAGTTTTCTAATATAGTCTGGAAATTCTAAATCCACTTGTTTTTCTCGTGCTGTTCCGGTGGTTTTATTGATTTACGGAGAGCTAATGGAGTAATGACCCAAAGAAACCAAAGAGAAAAGAAAAGAGTGAGGGGACGAGAGCAAGGAGACCGCGCCCCACGGCGTCGCGAGAGTCATACATAATGTACAGGGATTATTCGACGGCCATATGTCGCTGCTTAAATAAAAGACGAGTTCCTTGCCAATTTAGCTGGTACAATATCACTTTAACAGATTAACAACGAAATACAATATCGGAGGGAAGCGGGGAAGGTCGCCCACCCTCCTCCATCCCTCTCTCTGTCTCTGTCTCTCTGGGTCTCTCTCTCTCTCTCTCTCTCTCTCTCTCTCTCTCTCTCTCTCTCTGTCTCCCTGCCTCCCTCTCTCTCCCTCTCTCCCCCTCCCCGCTTCTTCTGCCCCATGCAAGTCTTTTGTGAGTATGGCGTTTTTTGAAACAGAGGCGAGAGGGGTGGGGCGGAGGGGTGTAACTGGTTGGACACGCTCCGTCCCCTTCTCTACGGTGCCTCACACTCGACACGATTCCTTTTCATTGATGGCCTGATAGCCGTCCAGGAGCAAGTTCAGGAGCGGGCGGGGCGGGCTGGTGGCGGAGCCGATGACGGGGCGGGGATGGTAGGGAGAAGGAGGAGCTTCGCGATACTTTTCGACTGAATGGTCGGAGGGGAGGGTGCACCAAGGGGGAGGAGAGGGAGGGGAGGGGTGGTCCTGGGGTGGAGGGGGAGCGCAGGGTGCACCGGCGGGTGACTGTTTGCATCGAGCTTCACTCGCACTCTCAGATCGTAGCTCGCCGTCAGCGGGGACGGACCGTGTGCGTGTGTCCTGGCGTGTGTTAGTGCGTGTGCGTGCGTGTGTGTCCGTGCGCGTGTGTCCGTGCGAGTGATGACGCAGCCCGCCGAGCAGCAGTGAGGACGAGGATTACCCGCCCCAATACGAAGCCATGTCGCGGTCCTTCCTCGTGGACTCGCTCATCTCGCGGCCGCAGGGCCCCGCCGGGCTGCCCGCGCCCGCGCTGCCGCCCGCGCCCTTCCAGATGCCCTGTGGTGTGCCGCCCGCCTACCTGTGGGGGCTGGGGCTGCACGGGCTGTACCAGCAGCCGCACGGCGTCCTGCGGCCCGTCGCGGCCCGACCAGCATTGCACCTGCCGTCAGGTGAGTCCTCCAGCCCGAACAAAGAATGACTCTTTGCGGCACAAATAGTGAACGGTCGGGACAGGCCAGCGGGAGGGATGCGAGTGCTGGAGTCTGGGCGCCGCGCCTCGCCCCTTACGGAGGCCAGGCGCTCGATGCGTCGTGTCACTCACGCTCAGCTCACGCTCCCCGCCGCCCTCTCGCGGGTCATCTGCCCCATCCTTTTTGCCGAGATATGATCCCGTGAGGGCCGTAAGGGGGGAAAGAGGAGGGGGTGCGGCGGCGTTAGAGAGAGGGCCTGTCCGCCCAGCAGTTCGTCCCAGAGGGGGCGGGGGGTAGGTATCCGAGTACAAATCACATTACCTACTCGGGGCCGGCGCCGGCGGGCCGAGCGAGGGGCAAGTTTGTTCTCGCTAACGGTCGCACCCAGTGTCCGACGCGCTAGCCGTCTCAAAAACAAAACCTTTATTTTACTCTGGATCGTGGTTGTTTGCCTCAACACAATGAATTCAGTCGCGTCGAACGAATAAGCCCCGTTGAAATTTTGATTCCCGCATTCCGTTTGAATTGTTAAAAGAATAAAGGGAGGTGAATAATACAGCCCCGTCGTGCCGTGTTTGTTTTCCGAGGCGCGCGGACGCCCCGCCCACCCCACTCCGTCCCGACTGGGGCCTCTCCTGCGAAACGGTATATTTCCGGCGATGGAACTCCGTAAACAATCGCTTTACCATTTCCTCTGTGATTTCCTCCCGCAGACTTCAGCCTGCAGTCTCTGAGCCACCACGAGCTCCTCGGCCAGCGCCTCCGCCAGCAACCGCAGCTCCTCCAGCACCAGCACCACCACCAGCAGCC